ACCACCGCCTTGTCTATTTGCGGTAATGCGTTTCGGTTTGAAGGGTAGGGCAGCCGATCTACTGTAAAAACGGAGACTTAGAACTTATGTTTCAATGTGGGTGGCGGTACTTACGCAATAGGTGTCTATGGGCTCCGGTAACCACTTAACACCAGGTGGACCGTGAGCTCGCCCACCGACGACAATATTTTTTTTTTTAAAATGTTGGTAATCCCGCACGATCAGTCTTGTGCAGTAAGTTTTAGGGACTACGGAAGATTTTCGAACTGGCCTTATCATCTTGGATAATAAAAACATGAGATTTTACCTGTCAAACATCCATAAATATATTGATCATTATTCTAGTGTATGTACATATATTCACTTAATGCAAGCTTTCATTGAGGCTCATTACAGTCGCACAAGTCGCACCCCCTCCACTGGAAGGCGTCACGTCTAGACGGCTAATTTTCAGAAGATATTTAACGAACTGCGTTATGATTCAGTTTTGAGACAGATTTCAATATGGGCGTTCCAATTCATTTTATACATAGACATTCTCATTTTATTTTCATGAACCCTGTTTTCTATTTTATTAAACTTGGTATGTATTATTGAAAAATCAATTTAAAAATTAATAAGTCTGTACGTACGTATGTGAGAGTGCGTGAGTGGACGTGAGCGCCTGTAGTTCACAAGAGCCACAAGAGCCTTCTCTGGTTTATGTCATGCAATCATGATATTGTATGTCATAATGACAAATGCAGCCTGAAGCTGCGATTCCTCAATCCGCGATTTCAATTACCATTATATTATATTGCAGCCAAGTTTATAATACATGAGAGCTTTTACAAAAGTTACTGAGACCTTCGATGTTCGCGGATTTGCAAAATAATTATTTGAGACTAACTGACCCGGCAGACTTCGTAGTGCCTCAATCGATAAATAAAAGACCGACGGGGGATACATCAAAGGAAAAACAAAATTGTTATTTTTATTTAATTCCGAGCATTTTCATATTAATCTTTTTTTTTTTTTTTTTTTTTTTTTTNGGATCCACTCCGGTCTCCGACTCCGGCACGACGACCGCACGACAGGATTTTACACCGGTTGGCGGGACAGCTTCCCGGGGCGGAGTTTAGTAGAGACACCCGGGTTCAGGTCCCCTACTGACCGGCGGGCGGCAGCGGATACCGTTTCACTAGGTCTCCCTATACCCCCGTCAAACAATCACGCCCCGTGAGCTCGCACGCACGTCTGCTCCGCATGTTCCAGGCGTCACCAAGACTCACCCCCAGCAAGGAAGGGGAAAGGGAAGGAATAGAACTGGCTCTCCAACCCACACGCCGGAACACAGCTAGGCTATTTGGCGGCGGACTCTAGTTGGAGGGTGGTCGCCAGCCAGTCGGACAAGTCCTACCACCGATTATGTATTCGGCTCCCGTTTTGCACCACCCAGGGGTCACTTGTAGGGAATCGCGGGTTAAACCTACGGAAGCGGGAAGCACCAACCCCCACTACCTTTTAAACCTTCTCTGGACTTCAAATAATTCAAAACCAGAATCCGCCAAATCGGTTCAGCCGTTCTCGAGTTTTAACGAGACTAACGAACAGCAATTCATTTTTATATATAGAGGTTACGACCTTAAGTGCTAAATTTTCGTACGATGCCACTTAGGTAAATTAATTTTGGTGCTACCAAGGAAAAAAAAAACCAACTACTCTAAGCAAACTCGAAACGTATTTCACCAAAAATACTCCCTAACCCTGTTTAAATATTAACATTTCGCGTACGCCATTTCCGTAGAAATATTTTTCTCTTTCATTTTTATCGTTCTATCCTTTTTACTCCCTTTCCTTGCTTTATTTACATAATCAAAAATAATTGTACATTTCATAAAAATAGCATGCTGTAGTTTTTAGTATAGTTCAAGTGTATGTAGGTCAGTAATAAATAGCTTATGCCTAACCGAGCGAGCTTTTCAAAACATAATGGCAAGCTCATACTAGTATTTACCACTTAAATAGAAACCAAAGACCATAAATGAAATTGCAATTTCCGCTAAACAAGGATTCAATTGCAAATCGCCCAAAACATTCGTAGCCGCTTAGCAGCTACGCCTGTAGCACGTAGACTCGTAGCATTCGTAGCACGTCTACGGACTCAGAAATCGTTACGTACTTTTCCGAGTAGCATCGCTTTAATATTTTATTTAATTTTATGTTTTCCTTTTTTAATATTTGAAGAGATTTTTCCGTAGTTTTTTCTGCAGAATATAGATGGCTTAACAGTCCAGTAGTCAGTTCTGATTTTACGAGCTCACAGCTCATCTAGCATTAAGTGGTTACCAGAAATCATAACACGAATATCGTCGCCCAAAGCTTTACATGAAGATGAAGTATTTGTTACGTAGTTTTGGCGTACAAATGGAAGATCTTCCACCGAGCGGTTGATGTTACTCGGAAGACCGACACGGTCCAAATGCTATTGTCCGGAACTTGTATGCAAGCTTATCTTGAAATGGTCGTTAGCTAGATTCAGGCATCTGTCAAATATATCTTGCGGTTTGTCGTAGCTATAGCTACAAGAGTAATACTATATGCGTCACTCATTTTTTTGAGTCACCACTCATTAACTTCTCAGAGTATCGAAATGCCTTTGAACGTCTCGTTAGTCTTAGTCATGCTGGCTACTGTGCCTCAGGGCTTGAGTTCGACTCCCGGTCAGAGCCGATATTTTTGATAATTATTTAGTAGGGTACTTGTTCATTAATAGTTTGCGTCTAGTACCCGCGAGCCAACATAAAATTCTAGCTTCAAGCCGTTGAATGTCCAATTTTTAATAATTTATATTTCCTTTGACCTTAATAACTAGACCAGTGACTCTCAAACTTTTTTGACGCACCACACTTTTTCTACTCGTAATTTAACGGCACACAAATACAGAAATAAGTTTAGTCGCTTTTTACTTATCTTTAATAAAAAAATTAACATAATATTAGAGAGAGAGAGAGAAAGAGTATTTATTCTTTATTGTACACAAACAAAAGAAACAATGCGAAACATTAAATACAAAAAAAAGTACAATTGGCGGTCTTATCGCTAAGAGCGATCTCTTTCAGACAACCATCAGGTGGAATTCCACCTGATGGATTAATTAGTTAATACCCACCTAACTTAAAAACTAACTAAGTTAAAACTAACTAATATTACCATGCCATGTAACCTGCGTAAAATCGTGTGATAATAGTTTTGGTGGTAGTATTTTAAGAATTTCGCGGCACACAAAACCGGCGCTGGAGTTGAGAACCACTGGACTGGACAGTAGAAATAACTAAACGGCAGGGTTTTTGAACCACGTTAATACCGCTGACGTTCCTAATCGCTCTAAATAGGCTCAAAGGGCCGCGATAACCTTCCAGAATTTGTTGTGTTTTTTGTTGCGCTTTTCCGCTGACTGACTCTGATTAAACACCGCCTGTTGCTCCACGTTTAAATACACAGTCGATTTATATCCGTCCCGGGAACGAGAACAAATGCAATTACATTTTAAATAGTGTTATTTAAATTTTAATTGAAACCGTAATACGGAGATGAAGGTTTTTTATCACGTCATGTCCCAAGGTGGGTGGCCGTGTTCACGTTGCTGATGTTTATGGGCTACAGTAATAACCACTTAATACCAGGTGGGTCGTGAGCTCGTCCACACATCTTAACTCCACACGCCCTACCACCAGTAGAGAAGTATTCGAAACAGAAATACACTTTTAGTCACAGTGTTGGCAGAACAATACATCAAAAATTTTTTTCTTCTCAATCGTGTCACTCTTGACAGAGTGGTCGTGATCGTCATGTAGTGTTTGGAAGGGGCAGACTTTTTTTTATTTTATTTTAATTGCCCTTGTAGGCAGACGAGCATACGGCCCACCTGATGGTGAGTGGTTACCGTCGCCCATGGACTTCAGCGATGCCAGGGGCCGAGCCAAGCCGCTGCTTACCGCAAAACTTGATGCGTCTCACGATGTCGCGCCATCTCTCATTAATAATATCGATGTTTTATTCTTATTTTCTCGAGTGGAGACCGCGCCACGGAAAACGTGACGTGGGCCACCCCCTGACTAGGTGGTGCGATGACCTCTGAACAATAAACAATATATAACACACATGGAACAGTCGTCACACAGTCGAGACTTCCATCTCATATCTCCAGATGGATGACGGCACACGAAGTGATGTCTATGGACACAGGTGACTTAACTCTAGGTAAGCCGTGAGCTTGTCTGAACTATGAGATAATAATAATACAACTCATTAATCGATTTCAGTAATGCAATTTTTTAGAAATAAAAATTATCGACTAGACTTTATTATAAATGGTCAGTCGCTGCTGTAGTAAGTTGTAAGTCTATCTTTGTAATTCAGTTAAAAAAGATTTTAAAAACTTATTAGATTTATGTATGGCACCTAGTACTAAATAAGGGATGGATTTATACACGGTGCTTTTAGGCATTTCAAGCACCGGTCACCGTCCTCGCCGAACCCGTCGCTTGCGATGAAGGGCTCGACGAATTTCTCGCCGGATCTTCTCGGTGGTAGATTCTACGAAGCACTACTCTTGCTAGGGCCAATGTTTGCAACACTCCGTTTTGAGCTCCGTGAGCTCACTTACACGTCAAAGAGAAGCTGAAATAGCCTGTCAAGGCTATCAGCATAGGTAGGAAAAACAACAACAGAACTATTTAAGTCGACAAACATTTCACTCTTTATTCATTTTAAGACGTATGTTGTTTAATAGTGGCCCAGATACATAGTTTCTAAATATCCAATATTTAAAAATATTTTTTTAAATGATTTAATCGAATAAAAACGTATCAGAATATAGAATGCTCTAACTATCGAAATCTGAGAGGCATCTAATAAGCCGATTTCCGTAACCGAACACTTAATGCAGAGTCGTTGAGCGCTTAGGAAACTATCGGGTTGCTTGTCGTCCGAACCGGAGCCAACCCTCGTCGGGCCGAGCTCGCTGTGTGCAAACAGACCGCAACCAATTTCCAAGCAAACGTCCCGCCACCAAATCCAATAGGAAACGTCATAATCATCTGATAGGTGCGGCGCATTGCGCCCACCTGTCGCCGCGCGTGCGTCCCGTGTGACGTCACGCGAGCCGCGCCGGAAAACTCCGAGGGACCACGACCCGACGTCCGCTCACCGATTGATCCAAAAAAGCCCTCCAGCTAATCAAATAGAGAAACTTTCCTAAATAAATATTTTAATGTCCTCCATCGTCTCAGAAGTGGGGGCCTAGACGCGCTCCAGCTGGCAAAATAAAACTGGAACCGCTATGGTTGCGCGCCCCGAACGCGTGTCGCCTCGGCTTCTTATCTAGTTCTTAATCCAAGATAAATATTACATCAATCGGGGGTGGGGAGGGGCGGAGCACGCAGGCGCGGGTCGCTTCAGCCCAGTCGCGCTCCGGCCGCGCTGCTAGTTGCATCGTGTACTCGCGGCCGCGTCACCCGCTCGCCGGCAACTCGCCCGCTGCCATTCCCACGACCTCGCAAATACGTGTTACAAGTAGAGCTCACGGTAACCGCCCGCGACCGACCACGGATCGATCTCGCCCGGTGTACACATTCGAGCGGCGGGCTTCCAGCACGTGCCATCCCGTTGCGTAAGTCGGGAATGCGAGACTTGTCGAAAACGAACCTCATCTCCTATTGACACACGAGAATAACAAACGAACATATCACTTATATATCGATCATATATTGCGTGTTTATCACAAATATTTCGCTCATTTTACTGTGGCCGGATCGAGTCTCGAACTGTAAGTGCTTAGCGCGTTCGGAACTTGAAAGTGACTTTCTTTTTAGCGGAGTAATCCGAACCGCGCCCGCGGTTTTTCAACCCTATACGCAAGTGCTGGTTGACCTTAAATCGGCGCTTGTCGCAAAGGGCGGCGCGGCGCCTTATTTGTTTATTAACCTAAGAAAATAAAATTTCTTGTAGACGATTGCGCGATCGGCGGAGCCGGGTCCGTCGAAGCGTAAACTTCGTTTATTTAGGCACGTCCTAAAATTTCCTCAAACATCGTCGTGTAATCTTAACATTAATATTCAAGAGGTATAATTTTGAGCGATGGTAACGTATAATTTATTTCACTAATACTGGTAGCAGTGCTCCTGACGTACTTGAAGCGATTAACCGGCTCGATTACTTGATAATAAATTTCAGCGCGAGCCTTAGGGCGGTTTTACATAGAACCAGTTTTTTTTAACTACTGTATAAATAATCATTTGTAGGTGCCGCCTCTATTGTCTTTGTAACTGTTGTTTTTTTTAATTGAACCAACGTGACTTCTATTGAGAATTGGATTTTTTAAAACAAAATAGCTTTCGCAACATTAATGTACATTGCTCACTAATTAGGGAACATTTCAATTGAATACCATGTTAGTTATCTCAAAGTAATAAGTAGATTGATCTTGATGTAATTTAGGCATGCTTTACATACATATGTATGCATAATATATATGTAATATTTGTTTTACTGGTGGTAGGACCTCTTGTGAGTCCGCACGGGTAGGTACCACCACTCTCTATTTCTGCCGTGAAGCAGTAAAATGCGTTTCAGTTTGAAGGGTGGGGCAGCCGTTGTAACTATACTTGAGACCTTAGAACTTATACCTCAAGGCGGGTGGTGCATTTACGTTGCAGATGTCTATGGGCTCCAGTAACCACTTAACACCAGGTGGGCTGTGAGCGCGTCCACCCATCTAGCAATAAAAAAAAAGTAAGATAACAGTAGTGAACATTTTATATTTACACACATCCCTACTCGCAAACAACCCAATAAAGTTACCCATAACGTGTTCAGTACTAATTTTGGTATTCGCGAATCTTCTATATAACTACAAATATTTATACGGTGTTTTTTTTTGTTATAATTGGAACGAAGTTCCTTACGGCAGGCTTGGAGGGGGTAGGGATTTTGCTGCGCGACCGAACTGAAAAAAATGTGATAGTAAAACCGTAAGAAAAAATCCGTGGAAAAAAGTGCGTGGAATAAAACCGTTAAATGAGACGTGCGCAGGCGCGACAGTCGCATACACAAGCGAGTAGTGTATAATACCTTTCTCTTTCTCCCTCTTTCTTTTTATTTCCTAAAATACTGAATTTCCTAAATACTTTCTTGTACTTAAATAAAAACTAATCAGCAAAATTTAAGAGAAAAATCAAGAAAACCTACATAAAATTGAGCACGATTTTTTTTGCAATTTGTGTCGATTCTACATTAGTCGAAGGAACTTCGTTCCTACCTGGTGTCCCACGACACCACCTAATTTCTTTTCTTTTATGATTTTTTCAGACGATAATCGTACAAAATGTGCTGCCTTGGCAATGGCTAAATATCGCTTTTAATAACCGAGAAACTCTCCCTGTACACTTCTTATTTCTTTCAAGAATAAATAAAATTTATCGTGGTGGCTTCTGCACATTTACCTAATTTCAGCGTATTTATATTCGGAGCGTCCACTCGGTCTTTTAATCGTCGCTAATGACTCCCCTGCTAATTAATGACGGTTGACAGTCAAGAAAAAAGAGAACTTTCCCAGGAAATATCGTATTAGCTTTCTTACGGCGGCCGATTGAGTGCTATTTCTTTTTTTTTATTTAAGTGTCGTCGATCCAAATTTTATTTTTCCGCTTGCCCGAACATCCTTCGACCGTATCACGTTATTTGAAAATTCAAATCGCGAAAAATTATCTCTGTGATGTCATTGGCGCCGTTCGAAGCGGCAGTATCGTTAACCTCGTTGTATGAATGAAGTTAGCTAGCCCAATGTCACTACATAGTATAAAACAAAGTCGCTTTCTCTGTCCCTATATCCCTATGTACGCTTAAATCTTTAAAACTAGGCAACGGATTTTGATCCGTTTTTTTTTATAGATAGAGTGATTGAAGAGTAAGGTTTATATGTATAATAACATCCATTAAATAGTGGAGAAATCAAGAATAAATTACAGTTTCCGAAGCGAAGCGAGTTCGGGTCGCTAGTAATCTATAATTTTATGATGTTAGAGACCATTTTGCCGTGGCCCGATATCCGACAAGCATTTTTACGAAGTTTTATAGTTTATTCAAAGAATGTTTCATGTACATACTTTTTTTTTTCATTCAAATAGATACAACAAAGATCTTCGCAATGGGTCGCGATTTCGGTCCGGTGGTAGATTCTGCAAAGGACTGCTCTTGCTAGGGCTAGTTAGTGTGTTAGCAAATTCTCTCAGGTTGAGCCCGTGAGCTCACCTACCCGTTTACGCGTAGCTGGAATAGCCTCTTAGACTACGCGCGGGTAGGTAGGTAAGACAAATATAGACAAGATCAGCAATAAAATATATGTCAGTTTATCCACGTTGTTTAAATTTCATCGCATATTGAATTCCCTTTTTATTCCTATTATTGAGATCCTCATTGCATCGACAGTAAAATCTCTTATCAGTATTTCTATGCTGCACGTATGGACCGAGACCTATGTGCTACCACGAAATCATCATATGCATATTTATATATTTTTCATGTCCGTTAATTTTCAAAAACACTTTCATAAGTAACCCTTTATAATAGGGGTTAAAGTATGAAATTGCCGTTTTATTGTAATATGTATTTCGAATTGACATAGAACCTTCATGGTTTGAGATTTTTGAGTGGAACTTTTTTCAAATGGTTGGTCCCTATGAGGTTCTTCTTTTAAAAAATGTGCAACATTCGATTATCGACTTTCAGTTGTTTTTTTTTATTCAGCTTAGACAAGAAAGATGGATACTTCGAACATTCGAGAGATTTTTTGAATACGAGTTCCGAAGCGGAACTAACGCTGCAAAAACAGCTCGGAATATCAATGTTGCGTTTGGAGAGGGGACTGTTAATTAACGCACCGTGCGATTTTGGTTTAAACGCTTTCGTGATGGAAATTTTGATTTGAAGAACGAACCACGTGGAAGAACGCCCACACATGTGAATAACAATGAATTGAAATAGATTGTGGAAGCCGTTCAGGGTCAAACTACCCTGGAATTAGCGGCATGGTTTAACTTTACCTTACTAACAATATTGACTCATTTGCGTCAAATCAATAAAATAAAATAAAAATGAAAAATGGGTGCCTCACTATTTGACTGACCTGCAGAAAGAAACGCGTGTTGAAACTTGTGTAGCCTTATTGAATCAATACAGAAATAAACGAATATTCTCTACATACTAATAGTCTAATATATACTCACCGATCTTCACCATTATTGATCCATGATAACGCGAGACCTCATACAGCATGAGAAACCGTTTTAACTCTACAGGAGCTGCAAATAGAAAACATTCATCACCCTCCGTATTCGCCAGACCTTGCTCCAAAGGACTACTTTTTTTTCTTGATTTGGACAATTTTCTACGAGATTAACAGTTTTCTTCCCAAGAGGCAGTACAAAATGCTTTCACACAGTTTATAGAATCTAGATCACCAGAATTCTATCGAAAAGGCATAAGTGACCTTCCTATTAGATGGCAGCAATATATAGAAACTAATGGTAGAGATATTTTGATTAAACTAATATGTTAAATGAAAAAAAAAAACAACTCATTTCAATTTTTCAATACAAATCGGTAATTTCACACTTTAACCCCTAATAATAATTTAAATAACAATTTATACAAAAATTACGCTTTTGTAATGTTTAAAAAATAAATTTAATGACCACTAACTTGGTGTGTTCTGTTTCCTAATACTCATCCATGTTACAAGATCTACCTACCTTTTATGATACCGGTTGGATAGTGCTATATTAAGATATTGTTATCAGAACTGCAACGGTCACCATCATCATTATCGGCGTACGCATTTCCACTGCTGCAAATAGGCTTCTCCTAATATGCGCCATTGAACTCTGTCTTCGGTCCAACTCAACCAGTTCTCGCCAGCCGGGTTCCGAAGTTGGCGATCCATCGATAGAGAAAAAGTGAATGGAAATTGAATTAAAAGATTTTGTAACTCTTATCTCAATCTATCTATAGTATACATATATAAAAATGAATTGCTGTTCGTTAGTCACGCTAAAACTCGATAACGGCTGGACCGATTTAGCTAATTTTGGTCTTAAATTACTTGTGGAAGTCCAGAGAAGGTTTAAAAGGTAGATAAATATGAAAATGCTCGGAATGTAATAAAAATAACAATTTTGTTTTTCCTTTTATGTGTCCCCCGCCGTTCTTTTGTTTGTTTTAAGTTTATTTTATACAAAAGTTTAGGGCCTTTTATTTATCGATTGAGGCACTACGAAGTCTGCCGGGTTAGTTAGTCTTTACATAAATTCTTAAAAATATGTGAAGCACAACATGAACTCATCGAATTACAGAATAACTTTGTCGAATCATTAGGGTCTGTCTAGCACTTAGCAATATGTTTATCCCGAGTTTCCCGACAAAGCTAAAAGTTGGTGGTAACACTCGCCCAACTGTGGAAACTAACGAACTAAATCGGACTGAATTGATGTGGGGCTATTTTAAAACAAATGTTTGCTGAGTGGACTCTGACTTAGGGGGACAGATGGAATGATGTTATTTTTTTTTTATATGATTTTGAAAAGTTTGTACAGAATTCAAGAGTCTGTGATGATA